AAAGCGCAGACAATCAGACGATTACGAGTGGGGTTCGCCATCCTCGCAGCTTTGGTCACTTTTTCCAGCTCCATAAATTTCTGCTTTACATGATTGACAGGACCATACATGTCTGCTTCAAGTGATTGAAAGGGCTCGAAAGGAATGGCCTTGTTAATCATAGAGTTCTGTTTGAAGTGACTGCAAGGGCCCAAAGGAATGGATGATTTACTAACCATACAGTTCTGTTTCAAGCAGTTGAAGGGGCTGGAAGAGAAGGTCCAAAGGAATGGATTTGTTCTCCAGTTTCAGGTGATTGAAAGGGCTCGAAGAAAGGGCTCAAAGGAATGGACTGGTCCTGTAGACCTTACATTTCTATTGCAAGTGATTGAAAGGTCCCAACGGAATGGATTAGGTCTACAGGAACATGTTAACCACACATTTCTGTTAGAAGGCCCAAAGGAATGGATTCGTTGACCATGCAGTTCTGTGTCAAGTGATTAACAGGGTCCAGAGGAGTGGATTTGTTAACCATACATGTCTGCTTCAAGACAACGAAAGGCCCGAAGGAATGGATTGATGCCTGTGGCATGACGCATGGCGCGTGTACTGTATGCATGCCTGCGGTGTGGATGCGATGGTGTGGATGTGATATGATGTCTGTGGAATGGTGTATGCGGCGTATGTAGCTTTCGTGTCTGCGATGTCTGTGGTGTGGATGCGATGGTGTGGATGCGATATGATGTCTGTGGAATGGTCTATGCGGCGTATGTAGCTTTCGTGTCTGCGATGTCTGTGGTGTGGATGCGATGGTGTGGATGGGATGTAATGTCCGCGGCGTGACGTATGCGGCGTGTGTAGTTGTCGGAACTGCGATGTCGGTGGCGAGGATGCGATGTGATGTCTGCGGCGTGATGTATGTCGCTTGTGTAGTTTGCGTGTCGGCGGACGGGAAACGAAAACGCGCAGGCGTTGGCGACGAGAACAATAAGAAGCCCACATCGTGATGTGGGGAATAAGAGAGAGATAAGAGAGAGCGATAAAAAAATAATAAAATATTAAAAAAAGAGAGAGATCAGAGAGAGAGAGAGAGAAATAAGGGAGCGATAAGACAAAGAGAGAGCGAGAGAGATACAGCAGAGATTGAGAAGAGAGAAGGCGAGAAAGACAGACATAGTCAGAGTCGGAGCGAAAGAGAGAGAGAGAGAGAGAGAAAAGACAAAAAAAAAAGTATCATCACAATAATAATAATAATAACAAGACACAGAAAAACTGATAAGACACTTCACTTCGGAAAGCGCGCTGCGTCTCCTTTGTTTGCCGTGTACGTGGCACATGTCTGCATTCGCATTCGTGGCCCCTATCAGGCTTGCCCCAATGGCTCTGTCAAGCTACAAGAAGTGTTGCAGCAACTGGAGATCAGGGCTGCAGTAACCAGCAGCAGTGCACGAGAAGCCGTATCCTTCTGAGCCCCAGACCATGCAAAGATCGTGCGCCTGGAACTCCTGAGGCAAAGGAGTACTTCAGCAGCTGCATCTGCATGGCTTAGGGCATAATGCGGACTTGCCAACACCTTTCAACTTCAGCTCGGGAATGGTGCTCGGATGTTAAATCTTTTCTATGGCACACTGAGTACTAGTCAGAATGCTGTTGCAACAGCCTGTTGCAGCCAACTTCGCCCCAAATTTGCAGATTCGCACGGTCGAGTCTAAGGTCCCGCGCCTCCTCCGCGTCGCAATGAGGCCGTACTTGGAATCTTGCAAAGTCTTACAAATTCATCTCCCTTGAGCCCGGCGGATGCGAGGACTGAAGCCCGTGAAGGGTCAAAGGGCGGTACAGTGACCGGTAGCAGGTGCAAGTTGAGAATGGGCTGTGGAAAGCTGAGATGTCTGGGGACTTGGGAACCTGACCTCATTGCCTACCGGCGATGCAGCCAATGTCCTTCTGTAGCGGAAGGACACATAAAGCGAATGCCTCGCGAACGAGGCACGTGGGAGACTCAGGATATCAACCAGTGTAGCCAATGTTGAGCCATGCCCAGCAAGACTAACAAAAGACTCGCTTGGAAACGTCCGGCTTGAAACGATTGTGGAAAGATTGTGGAATGATTGGACCTGCTGCGGTTGGTCCTAGCTTGGCTCCAACCAGAAACCCGACAAATTTAACAGCAGATGTCCTTGCAACCCACAAAAGTGTGTCTTCTCAAGCGTCTGCACAAGCTTCCTGGCTGTAGGAATCCAAACCATGATTCCAAGCGAGGAAAAGAAGCAGCACCGCGTGGACCAACAAGATGCGCGAATGCTGAGCACTTGCCCCGGCTTCTGTAAGCGTAAGCAACCTCTACAGCATACACCTAAAAGGGCCACTCTTGGATAAGCGGGTCAGCACGCTGAATACACTTCCACAACTTCTGCCCCTCTAGCACGATACGACAGATCGCCTCCGTCCAGAGGAAGAAGACGTGGAGGCGCAGGAACTCCCTTGCAGCTGATTGTGCTGGACAGTACTGTCAAATTCATGTAGGGCCAGAGAGTAGAGGAATGGGTTTGCTGGCATGGTAATGAGACACACTGTTTCAAACAGCTTGTTAGCACTCTATCAAGACTCTGTCAGATAGGGCATCGTGTGGGCACCTTTGGGCGCTTCCGACGGCTCTGTATGTACCTCGGTGACAGCTTGTGAAACGCCTCCCACAATCCACTTCATGTCGCAAGCATCTCCGAGTCTCAGGTCTTTGCGGGAACGGGAGTTGCCCTGAAGAACCCAGTATGTGAAAGCGGCATCTGATTTCCGCGGTGCTTAAGAGCAATGATTCGGTCTAGCAATGTCCTGCCACGAACAGATGTCACTTGACACGTGCTGCAATGATCAGAAAGGTAACATTGGATGGAGTCCGCCTGCACGGTCAGCAATTGCTTGCACAACAGCGAGTCAAAATAAAAATCAGTTAGCGTCGACGATGCTAGCTGAGGATGAGACTGGAGAATGCACAGGCACAAAGGTGCCCAATTGCAAGAATCAACACGAAGCCCTAAAACCCGAAGAGCGGGTCTGCTTTCAGCTAGGAATGCTCCTGCACACGCGCATCCGCACGGTTCTTGCAATGTTGCTGTGAGCTGGGGGCCACGCAAAGACTATGACCTTAGCTACGGCGGTTTACCACCCTCAAGTTCTTGACAATTTCAGGGCCAGCACCCGAACCAAGCAAAGCGGCCATGTCTGCATGCGAGTACAACCATGACAGCACACAAGCTATGTCTGCCATATTGTGGGCTATTGCAGGCTGATGAACCAAAGACCAAAGCCGCGAATGACAACTCGGTCAAATATGTGCAGCTTGATGTGCAGTCAAGACTCCGAGCCCGGAGGGGCATCCAAAAGGGCCTTCCGACGCATGGAGGGCCAGGCTAAGCTATTTGAGCTACTTTGGAAGCTGCCACACGAAAGACATCCTCGGTATCGGAAACTGCATCGCCTCCTCCGCAGCTCCTCTTGCTAGGAAGTCAACCTGCAACGTGGTCAACACAGGCCACCCGAACATCTTCCTCACAAGACATGATGAGATGCAAGAGACAATACCGAAGTCCAAGCCTGACAGCCTAAAACATCACTGACATCCTGCTCCAGATGGTTGCGAACTGTAGCCCTGGCTAGCCTGGTGGCCTAGTGACATCGGCTTCCGAGAGAAGAGCCTCGATACGCTGAGCCGAGCATCGCGCTCTGTACCACAGCTTGTTCCTCACTGCTGCGGAACTGCTTCTGCGCTGAGCGCTGATGTCACAGAACGGCCCCCTACTTCGGTCTGCGTGCGTTACTGCCCATTTGACACAGAGACGTCATGGGCTGTTCACATCTCGACTTGGTAGGTTTTGCAACGGCTGAGCTTCACTTCCGGGCTTCGCTCTCGCTCTCTGGGCCTGTGATGACAATCCAAGCTGCAACCAAGCTGCAACCCTGACGCACAGCCTCGACCCTGACGCACTACTTCACTATGCTCAAGCACCAGGCTAAAATAACCGAACATGTCCTCTTCATCGGCGTTATTACCGCCATGGAACCCGGCTGGCTCACCTTGTCATTGGGGCTTCAACTTTCGGAAGGGTCTTTAAAAGCAGGAGACCGGATTCCACATGAAAGGCCGGGTCATCGTATGACGGATTGCAAACTCAAGGGTCATCTGTGCTAAGTCATCTTCTCGATCTGCGAAGCTGTTTACACATACCACAGCATAGCAGCGAAACGGCAAAGTCGTTTGAGTCTCCTCAATGACGTATCTGAAGCTTATGCATCCGGTCACATGAAGAAGGGCTGGGGCCCTGGCACATGTGACCGTCGGCGAATGCCCACTTCTGCAACAAGTCGGGCCGGTGGGTGTGTGTGTGTGTGGGTGGGTGGGCAGGTGGGTGCGTGGTGCGCGTGTTTGCATGATTTCTTTGCATGTGGTTTGCCGCACAAACTCTGACATGTCATGCCTCGCTGCATGTGCATCGATCTGGGCATTGCCGCAAGCGTTATGCAAACACGCGGGACAATATTCTGGTATGAGCAAGGGCTGAGGCACAGGCTGGGACATTTCAGGCGCCATTCAACTGGACTTGCCGCGCCACAGACCGTTCAACCAACATGTCACGCAAGTACATTCAAAAACACTACATGCCTCAGATGCAAACTGCTCGGGATAACCATGCAAAGATTAGAATGCATGTTGCAGGTCGTGCAAAGACAGCTTCCTGACTACTGTAGACTCTAACGCATGCTCATCTCACCTGTCTGCACAGATGGGCCACTGAAGTACGAGGCATCACGAAGCCAACTTCCCAAGGCCCATGAAGCGATAGGCCGTACTTTGCGAGGACTGACTTAAGGGCAAAGTCCATAGTTCAACAGCCGAGGCAAGAGCCTCACAAAGTGGGTCGCATTAGTATGAAGCACATCACCTTTGAAACCTCACCCTTAAACAGAAACTTCCCCGCAAGAGCTTCTCAGCAGCCCACTTTGGAGACATTCCAAGTTTGGCTGCGTCACATCGGATCGTACTCGTAAGCTCGGATTGCATTCTGCAGCGCAGCCGGGTCCACGTCGTGCCGTTTGCGAAACACTGCAAGTGTAGCTGCAGTTTCCTCAAGGTTTGCAAACCGTTCAATCTCGCCATAAAATGGCCGTCGCCCAGAATAGTCATGGATCATGACAACTGACCGAGAAATATCCTCAGGCTTAATTGCCAGAAGGCTCTTCAGCGCGCAGGCTGTACGAAATCGTGAATCCACCAGGACAACATCCCAGCCATGCTTGTAATGCATGGCAGCATCCAGAACTAGCTGGCTGAAGGAAGGCCACCAATTGCGGAAACCAACTCCATTTCTCATGCAGCGCATCTCATTGTTGCACTCTGACCTTGTTTGTTTTGCTGCGGGTCGTCGGCACAAGCGGCCTCTGTGCAAGCAGCGCGAAAGATTTTGGACAGGAAATCCAAAACCCGAAATCATTCCAATGTGCGTGTGAAGCAATCGCATCCTCTTGGGAGCGTGCTCTGAGCCATTCCGCAGCCATGGGTGGTTTCGCACTTTGTTTAACCACTGCTTGTCTGGATCTGCCGAGACCATCCGATAAAGATGGCGGCTGCGGTTGGCGAGATGTAGCGTTGACGCACCTCGGTAACTTCTCAAGGCCCCAGAAAAAACAGGACGTACACCAGCAGGCAAATAGAAAAAACACTGAACTTTGCAAACTGCCCGCCTGTGCCAAACTCGAAAAACGTACGTGCTTGCTGCAAGTGATTCAGCAACAGCTCCAACTCTGCGGGATCCATCATTACTCGGCCCACCCCTCTCACATAAGGTGGCGATAGCTGTCGGGCAGCAAGCAATGGCAAAAGAAGCAGCGGCCAAACAACGGAACCTGCCATGTCGCTCAGCTGGCACGCATAGCAAACCATGCACCATATAGTGTAGCAAAACGATGCAAGGACACTGCAAAAGTCTTCATTCAGAAATTGGGCAGATGTCGCCGCGAACAAACTTAAAACGGATGCAGTTGGAACAAAGTATAAGTAGCTCGTAGGTGCCCCAAACAACCACCCTCCAAATGGACAGATTGAAAGATTCGTGCTGTGAGCGTGGAACCTGAAGCTTCGAGAAAGTCCAAAAGATCAGGTTTTTTCAAGGCCTATCGTGAAGTTTCGACTGGGTTGCGAGCTCTATGGCTGTGAATCCCGCACATGCTTTATTCGGCAGAGCTTGCGGCTTTATACTACTGAAGGGTCAAATGCCAAGACCCAGGCCCTCCACAGATACCACAACTAACCCTAAGCCCTAAACCGCGAAGCCTAAAACCTCGACTTTGTCCTTTAGACCTTATCTTTGAGACAAGTTCTATGAAACAATGTTTTGTTGCATCACCTTAGGGTGGATGTCCCGGCTCTTAGAAGATTCTGGAACACTCAAAACAATGTGGTGTTGATCTTGAGCACGGGCCGTTTTGGCACACTAAACTTTCTGAGCTTTTCTGCAACGGGGAGTCACTCTGCAAGACGCGCGATCTGCCGTACGTCAGAAAGCTCACAATGTACATCGACCCCATGTGACACTCCCAACCAAGCCCATGCCAAGCCCCCTCACTCAGCAAGTCCGCCGTGCACCGGTGGGCACAGAAAGCTCACAATGTACATCAACCCCATGTGACACTCCCCACCAGGCCCCCTCACTCAGCAAGTCCGCCGTGCACCGGTGGGCACTGGTGGGCTTGGGTGCGTAGGGCGGACGTGGGCAAAAGCAAAGCAACTCCAAACTCTGCCTCGTCAGGGCGTGGCATCTTGGAGTATGCTTTGGAGGCTATTTGCCTAGCCTCCATTTGCCGGCTTTCGTTGGCTCACACAGTGCAACCAGGCATATTTGAGCTGCGCTTTCTGATATGGGCAGAACCTACTTCTGTCGACCTTACACTATTGGCCCAATGAAAAAGGGTGTATAAAACAGCGCACCCTAAGGATATAGGTATGTGACTAGTAGGCACTGGGTTGGTGAAAGTCTCGTTCAGCGCGTCCACCCATACACCTTCGCCTCTCATCAGACACATGTCACTAGCGACACATACATCTGGGGCTTGACGAGAGCCCCGTGCGAAGCAGACCCCTTGTGGTTGGGACCAAAGTCCTGCCAATGGACGGCACAGTTGTGGCCCAACCGGGGGGCAAACTGGGCCCATTGACACAGTTCTCGGTCACACTCATATCGATACAGTATGTGGCCAGTAGGCACGTTGGTGAAACTCTCATTGCAAATACGTGGAAGCGCTCGAGTCTGTCTGGGGAATGATCAGCGCCTCCACCCATTCGCCTTCACGCAGTGCTGTTGGAGCCGAGAGGGCACAAGGTTGAGGGTGTAATTTGCTAGCCTTCTTTTACCGAGCAGCCGCAGCATGCTGGGCTGTTGGGTGCTCCATGATTGCCCCTTGCGATATATTGCAGCTACGGCTCAGTCAGAATGGAGGATGGGTCGGATTCACCCCAGTTGCCTTTCTGCACTGAACGCAAGTTTGTCTCAAGTTGCACAGATCCAATCCCAACCACTCCAATCGAGGTCTCGACCTTTCTGGAAGGTTCCCCTGCCTGTGTGAGGGTCCTGGTACTGCCCGCGCTGCACCAGTGACTGCTGCCGAAGCTGCCAATTGTACCTCTTTGGGACCTTAAACCCGAAGCCCTTGAATTTCATGGTTTTGGATGACTTAGGGGTCATTGTTGGAGTTCAAGGTTTTCGTCTATCGGGTTTTCCAGCTTATGTTCGCGAACGTTGCGTGCATGTCGGTTTCCTGGGACTCTCCAAGAACCCAGCGTCTCGCGCCGATGAAGTTGTATTTTGGTTTGCTCTGAACCAAAACCTCCAAAGCAGGGACCTGAACCATGGACCCGCAGGCCCTCCCAGCCCCAAACCGTACAAGTACTAGTTGAGAGCAAGCTTAGCTGATCAGGGAGGGCCCGACGAAGACAGACTCTTGAGTGACCTGAGGGATCCTGGTATCCTTTAAGGGCAGACATCCCTTTGGCTTGCATTGCGGCCGACGGGTCATCCGAGGTCTGGTCAGACGCCATGGAGCCCTCGGCCCGAACACCCATGATAAGTCCCCCATCTTGGCTAGGCCCTTGCATGACTCATATTCTTGAGGGGCGGCTCAAGATGGGTTAAGTCTGAAGGATTTATAGGGCAGTTGCTCTGTTTAGGGCTTCGGGGTGTGAGCTTTAGGTTGGAGTGGACACCTTTCGCAGCAACGCACCTCCAACCCAGAAACTCTGTGCCAAAGCCGAAGTCTGAGCTATCTTGTGCAGGACATGACTCCCCTCTGAGACTGTACCCTCTCAGATCGTGGCCACAGTCGTGCTGTCCCGCTCCTTCTTTTCCACGTTTCTTTCAGGGGGTTGGTTGATGCTGGGTGAAGCAAAGGCCCTAAGCGACATGGACTTTTAAGGTCTATTTAACGATCTCTTTGGTGTCTCCGATTTAGACAAGCACGCTACGGAAAAAACAAGTATAGGTTTTCGGGTTTAGGGTTTGTAAGGTTTGGGGCTTCGGGTGTATAGGCTTGAGGTCTTAGGGTCCATTACAAAGTCCAATGTTTGGCTCCGCCCCCTCTTCTCACCCCTCTTCTCCCTCCCGCCCCCCTGGCCTGCTCCAGCCTAGATCCTCTAAATCCCTTCAGTTCACCCCCTCTAGAGCCACACCCTCGAGCATGTCCTCCTTGTCCTCCTCGATGCCCTGCAGCACCACTGGAACTCGAATTTTAAGGGAGTTTAGGCCGCAATTGGCCTGGAAACCGCAGCCTCCGAGCCTCTCCCGGGCCCTGAAACCCAAAAAGAAAGGCCCCGCCCTCGGCCTGAACACCTAGCCCGAAACCGAATCCTTGAAGCCGGCATGCTTCAGACGCCGCCAGGTGAACAAAGTGCAGGGTCTTTGGGGAGGACTGTTGCAGGTTTTTGCTGGTATTGTGGCGTTGCATGGGGGATGCGGAAAGTTGATGAACTTGGGTGGCTTCAGGAACTTTAGGAGGATTTTGGGGATGACGTTGGCAAGTTTGGGCTGAAGGGCCGGTTGGCCTTCTGGAAGGCCTTCTTTCCAAACCCGTCCGGAGGGCCCGATGGCGGGATGTCCTGAGCGTCTGCTTACCGACCACGAGCCGGTTCAGAAACTGGTGCTGAGGTCCGCACGTAGTCGTACTTGCCACTGTACTTGTCTGCCTGGAGGGATGTTCGAATCGAGTTTGTTGAGGCTGGGCCCAAGGGATTTCGAGCTGCTGAAGGGATGGCGCTGTAGTCATGATGTGTTGGCCTTAGCAGTCTTCACTGAGTCCTCCCGCCTGTTGTCTTCGAACGGCTTTGCGGTGCTTCTTGCCGATTTCGTGATCGGCCCACCTCGTCTAAAACTCCGAAAACCTACGGATCTTTAGGGTACTGTCTTCTGAACTTTACAATGTTACTACAAGTCCGTGACCTGTGCCAGGAAATTCAACACCCTCATCCTCTGGGCTCCTGGCTGCGTCGGCCCGTTGAGCCACATCTGGCAGTGCTTGCAGTAAATGGCCTTCACCAAGGGCCCGGAGCAGAGGGAGCAGAGGGAGCGGAGGTTGATGCTTCGGGCTTCTGGCTTGGGATGATTGTTTTTCAGGGCTCAGACCAAGCTGTAAGGCGCCATAAGGCCCCTGGGCATTTGGAGAGTTCTGTTGTGGCCGTGGCTTTGAGCCCCAATCCCCAGAGCTGGTCGGAGCGGCCCGGACAAGGGCTCCGCAAATGCATGACTGCATCATCTCCACTGAGCTGCCGGCTCCATCATGCCTCGGCAAGGGCGCGATCGAAAGATTCCGTCGGGCAAGTGCTGGCTCTAGCAGGCTCTAAAGACGGACTCACCCAAACAAGCAAGTCTAACTGAGACAGCAAGAACATGCAAGAACTAACTACTGGAGGAACGTGGCTGAGAACGCTGTCAACTTAGAAGAAACCCTGAAACCGGAGCTGCAGTCTCGTGACTCCGTCGGCTTGTTTTTGGCCGCATCAGCCATCTGGGTGTCCTGCAAGAGCACGGACATGCATCTTTCAAGCCAGCATGTCGGCAAGAGCCGACTTCAAGAGCCAGTCTGACATTCTCAGGACCGCCATCAGGGGCGCTCCATTTTCATGCGAAAGGTCGGCGGAACCATGCGGACCCCCGAAGCCCACGACCAACAACGATTCCAACGGTGTCCGCACAGTCCAGCGTCGAGAACGCTCCGGGGGTCGGCGGGGGCGGCATCGGGGGGGAGGCCCCCCCAACTCCCCCCCCGCCAAGGGGGGGTGGAAGCCCTGCCTTGTGCGCGCGTCTGGCACCTTGGGTTATCGTGGCAGCAAGATTTCATTCAACTGTTTTTGAGTTGCCTGGAAGCCACTGGAAGCCACTGGAAGAGCCATGGGCTTGATGAGGTCATGGCTCTTCCCCGTGAGTCCCGCGCCATACTCATCCGATGACAGCCATGAACATTACATTTGTCCACGACAATAAGACCGACTGTGTCCTGATGTTGAGTGCAACCGCAACAGACCTAATGGCACCAGACCCTGCGCAGAAGACTTTGGCACAGCCTCCTTCGGTTTGCTTACTTACGATGTGGGTTTGGCGAGCTCAATATTGGTTGTGAGCGTTTCAGTAGCAGAACAGTTTGAAGGGTTAGATAGTTTGAAGCTGGCAGGAGTCACACAATCACGTCCGGGCATGTATTCTGGCACGAAAATCTGAACTGCTTGGCCAGTGTGTTCAGAGAGCTGCGAACGGCACAATGGAAGATAGAGAA